TTAGATTAAGACTCGCCGCCGACTGTGTACCTTAGTTGGAATGGAGAGAAAATTTGGGGAAGAACACGGAAAATCAAATGGAAGTAAGTGGTTGTATGCAGGGTTTTTTGAGCGGGATAGCACACCGTACTTAAAGGAATATACCTTAGATGCTCTAGGACCCTGGTATACTTAGAGGTATACTCCTGAATAAGGATTTGTTTGGCTCCTGGCTTTCTTATAGAAAGCTCGATTCAAGGACCTTGTTTGAAATGTCATGTTTCTTTATTGGAACAGGGGGTAAGGTCTCGAGGATTGGGTTTTAGGGTTTCTGAACCGGGGATTAGGTTTGTTTTGCTGGTGCTTAAGGGGAAGGAGGAAAGGAATGTAAGCATGATTCTCAAGTCTGTATTGGTAGGGATCCACTCCCCCACTCTCCTCAGCACCAGGAAGTTTTCCTGGATGCTAGTGGAGTTGAGGATTTAAAGGCTCAAGTGTGGTTTATGGCATTTTGGTAGAAGTCAAGGTTTTACAGCAAAGAGCGTGTCGCACATCATCTGGATTGCGATAAATATCCCTAAGCCACACACCCCTACACCCCTAAACCCTTATTGGCGCACTTACGGAATCGCCACGGACAAAACGAGAACAAGACAAGTACCTTCGTCGGTTCTGATTTCAAAAATTGAGCAAGCCATGGGCCTGCGCTGTATATACATATATATATATATGTGGGTCATATAGCGGTTATATGGGCAGTACATAGTCATGATGGAAAAGAAAATGGAAACCACTATTTAGGGTTTAAGTTTTAGCGTCTCATATTTCGGCCTCCCAGGCGCTAATCTGATGCATGTCTCGAAGTAAACGCATCCCGGCATGCCAGAACGTTGATCCCACAGTGTGCGCACCTGAAAACCTACACCTCCACAAGGTTCGACATCCGTGTACCCATAGGAGCCATAGTCAAAACTCCTAATATCCCCCTGAAACAACCCTATAATAGTCCCCTAGACCTAGAGAATCCCCTATATAACCCCCTGTAAAGTGTTGTGACTACAGTTCATAGCGTAGTTGATCCAGAGTCCTGCTCCCAGAATGGCCATGTTGGAAAATCTGATCCCCTAGATTTCTCCTTATGGACCTACAGAACCCCTATACAATTTCCCAAAGAAACTTTAGATCAACCCCCATACGGTCTATACCTGAGCTGTACTTCAAGGTCCCAAGTATCTAGCCTGTTTACTACTTGGACACTTAGCGAGAACGGCCCTAGACCCTAAACCCCACATCCGCAAGTCCAAAATCCCCAAAATATTAGGCCCTGAAGCCCAACCCCTAAAATCAAAATCCGAATCCCAAAGCCCCATGTGAAGCAATGTCTAAACTCCTAGTATCCCCCTGAATAACCCCTAAAGTAGTCCCTTATATAATCTTGGTTAATCTCGGAGTTTGGACTGTACCTCATATACTCGTAGTTAAGCCCTGTAAATCCAATGCATCCTCCAAGCCTTCAGAACCCCCAAGCCCCAAACCTTAGATCAAATCTCGCAACTCACCTAAACCGCTTTTGTAGACCCATGATGACTAAACCCTCTCCTAAACCCTCTCCTTTTAAGAGCCTTAATATTAGAAACCCTAAAACACAAAATTGCCAACCCCCATAAATCCAATATTGTCCCTCTGTACTCCTAGATAGTCCCTATAAACCCAAGGCCCCAGACCCTAACGAGCCCCTAAATCCTAAGTCACAAAGCCCTCCTAAGGTTACAGCCTCGACCCTCAACCTAAACCTAAAACCCTAAACTACAGCCTTATAAACCCCCAACCCCCAAAAGTTCACCCTCCTGACTGCCCGACAGCGCCGCCCGGCGCGCCGCCGCACCGCGGCGGCCCGGGATGGCCGCCGAAAGGTACGCGAAGGAGTAGCCGGGCCGTGGGAAGGAGTGGTAGCCTTGGCGGGGCTTGAAGGCATGCTGTCACCCCAATTACTAAACGGTTTCGGGTCTAAGATGCTAAGATATTGTTGGATATGCCTGGTTATTGTAGATATCTTCAGTTGCAGGATAGGACCGATGTCGTTTTGATCGTTTGGGCCCTAAGCTCTTAAAGAATAAGCTTTTTGGAGCAGTAGGATCATATATAGACCTTTGCCTTAACCCTAGTTACCCTAAACCGCCGGTCAGTAACCTTAACATCCAATCCAGAACAAGGATAATCCAATTATGATACCCAGGGTCCTTAAGCACTAAACCTTGAACCCCAAGCCCTTGCAAGAAGCTCCCACGTCCCAGCAGCTGGTGTCTGGCGTCAAGCTCGCCAAGTCTGGTTTGCGCGCCTCCCACGGCTCCTGAGTATTAGTTGTGCAGTATCTGGGGGTTTGGGGTGTAGGGTTATTCATGAGGACTTAAGGCTTAGGGCGTTGGATGTAGAGAGTAGGAGGGGAATTCAGATCTAGGGTCCCTATACCCTAAACCAAGAAACCCCAAACCCTGAAAAACCCTAAACCCCTAAACCCTACCCCAAGAAACCCCAAACCCCTATAGGATTTAGGTAAGGCTCGATCATGGCGTCATCCCAGGTGACCTTCTCAAAGAGCCAGCCCGAATACATCTCCTGCCGAGTAAGGGCATGGGTTTCGTGTTTTGCTATTTCTGGTAACTCTAAACCCCAAATCCTAAATCCTAAACCCTAGCAAGGATAGTAGAAAATTAGGGGCTCAGATTCAGGGTGTGGGACTTTTTTGGTGGAGGAACCCTGGACAAAGGTTTTTCTTCTGGAAACCGTGACAACCACAGGCAGAAAACATCTTCCACTCTCCTGTAAGCTCCAAGGTCAACCGATATCTTCAGCTCTGGGATGTATTTAGGGTTTAGGGCTGAGAGTTTAAGGTTTAGGGCTTAGGGTTTAGGGTTTAGGGTTTAGGTTTCAGGGTTTAGGTTTGAGGGTTAAGGGCTGGGATGCAGATATACATGTCCTGCCTTGTGTACTCAAGGCCTTCAGCGTCGCGGGATGGGAGTTTAGGCATTGGAGTAGTTTTGGGCCCTGCGCTCAGGATGTACAAGCTTGCCTTTGGTCAGCTGGGAATGAAGGAATGGAAAAGAACATGGAAACTACCGTCATGGTCTTATTATATAGGGACTACTTTCCTAGCTAACCAAAGGTAAGCGAAGGCATCTCCTGCTTTGTTTAAAGAGCTCGGGCTTCGTGTTTAGGGTCTGTCTCTTCCCTACTTGGGGCCTCTGAGGTAATAAAGACTCTCCACTGATCTTATAAACTACGTGCGGCTTCAGGAACTAGGAAACATGGAGCCCAAATTTTGACTGGCACTTAAAGCCCCACAAAAGGCCCTATTAGGGACTTAAATCTCTAAACCGTGAACCCTTAAAGGGCTCATACTTGGGTTATTTAGGTACAGGTGTTATTGGAATGACCACCCTGAGCCACCGAGTAGGGCCAAGCAGACCAGACTTATGGTCCTGCGCTTGATGTAGGGTTATAGGGTTAGGAGATTAGGGGGTTAGGGGTTTAGGGGATTAGGGTTGAAGGTTTATATGGGTGTAGGGTGATAGGGTTTAGGGTTCAGGGTGGCATTCGAACCGTGGGTCTAAGGCTAGGGTCCATGCCTTAGTGCCCGAGGTCATAACCATCGGTTCCCATCGGTAATCTAGGGGCCTACGCGATGCGAATTGGGCTTTCAGGTGTGTTCTACGACTAAGTTTTCTGCAATGGGAATTGCTACCATGGTTGGTGCAAATATTTCCTAAACTGGCATTTACGAGGGACCATCAGGGCCCAAAGCTATGCCAAACACAAGTCTTGAAACCAGATAAGCCCTAGGCCGTAAAACTCGGTAATTTCCAAGTACCTACAGTACAAGACGGTTGGCGACAGCTCCTGCTTGGTCTGCGTTGCACAAACCGCCGCAGATAGAGCAGCATAAATGCCTGAAGAATGTTCAGGCACTATATAAGCATAGTCAATCTGCATTGCAATCAGGTATACATACATGTCATTAAACAATGATCCAGCTTTTTCTAACTTCCAGGGTGCCCAAACACTAGCTTCCTGGGACTAGGGAACAGCAACCTATTACATATAGAAACACAACTCGCAGTCTACGGTTCAGCGACTGCCACACTGCCCAAATTTCAGAGACTTATGAAAGTTATGGAGTTTGTAAGCCCTTAGACTGACTTTAAAAATATCGTAAGCCTCAGGTCAAGCAAGAAAGAGCTGCTCTTCCACAACAAAATGATCTGTAGCAACATGTCAAACTGACAATAGCACCAGCAATGATATGGGCACACCTGATGGCTGCAATAGCAGACGCACTATCCTAATCGGTAAAGTCTTTCTTCGGCCCTCGCTCAAAATCTCAGGGAAGTCGCATGGAGGCCGGGGAGTGGATGGATGTAGACACACTAAACCCTAAGACCCATAGCCCCCTTCGGCAGATAAAGTAAGGATTTGGGCATATTACAATAAAATCCCCATATACCCTACATTCTATCTACTTAAGGGGGACTGTAAACCCACTGCCTCAAGGCAGGACATAGCCCCATTGCAATCAACCTGTTTAGGCCTATAGTCCCCCTTGAATAGATAGAATAAGGGATATATGGGGATCTGATTGTAGTATACCCAAAGCCAGATTCTATCTACTTGAGGGGGACTATAAGTATCCTGCCCCAAACTACCATGCAAGCTAACGTAAGCGCACAAACAGTTCAGGGGTTTAGAGCTTAGGATTCATGGCTTAGGGTTTCCATATTGGCTAGGGAGTGCAATCTGGAAGTTCCCTGAGAGTACCCATGTTTTGAGAAAGCTCTCGTGCTCGACTGCAACAAAAACTCTGATGCATAAGCCCTGGAGCCCCTGACCCTGAACATTACACACTCAATGATCCCGCAAACACTTCAAGCTTCACCCTTAACCCCTAAAACCGAGACGTCGAACCGCAAAAAACAACTTGAACCCATAAAACCGAAATGCTAGACCCAAGATGCGGAGTTGGCAGCGACGCAGGAAGACCATCTCCACTCTCTCCCATCCAGTGGGCTTCTTCAACGCGCGCTTCGCAATCAGGATCACGTCCCTGAGTCATATTTGGGGCTTCTAGGTTCCAGGGATTAAATAGGGTGGCAATGTAGAGGCCTGATTGCGTAAAATAAGGACCTAAACTAGTCCACGTTGTGTTTACACCGACGTCGTGAGGGAACCACTCCAATTCTTAGTACCTAAATCCTTTTCCTCAAGCTCTCATGCCAAGTCCTTGAGCCCAACCCTCCTAACCCTGAACCCAAACCCCAAACCCTCAATCCTAATCCCTAAACCCATAACCCTAATTCGTAAACCTGAAAGGCAGCCGCACTACCTTGACGGACTGGCGCCGCCCAACTCTGGTACAATTTGCTCCTCGAAGATTGGCGATTTGGGTTTACCTTAGGAGGTTTGGGATCCCGGTATGGGGGTCCAAGTGCCTTAGGGTAGGGTTTATGGAGACGCCCCTAGGGCTGAAGGATGACTTTTAGGGATTGGATTTCAAAACTTGGAGTTTTTGAGGACCCCGTGTTGGGCCGCCTTTAGGGCTTATCCAAGATCTCCCCGGCAGTTTCTTTTCGAGGTTTGCTTGTTATTTTGGAGAAGGGTTTCTAAAAAGCTACCCATGTAGGAGGCTGTGGGTGGGGTTACAGGATGAGTGTCCAGGGATAAGGGTTTAGGGATTAAGGTTTAGGGTGTGTAGTGTTTTGGGGCTTAGCGTTTAGGGTTGAGAGACCAGTCTTTAGATTTGACTACTTTGCTCCCAAAACAAACAACTGCAAACCCTAACTGTCCCTACAAAGATTGCCGTCCTTCTTCGAACGACCCTCTTTGGGGTTCTATGCTCAAATCTAGATCATCCACCGTATATGTCTGGTCAGGCAAGCAAGGGCCACGTAACGCTGAGACCCTAAACCGTGGGCATCTGTACCTTGTTCAAAGAAATGCGTTCCAGAGCCATTGCCCACGTTGGGGATCTAAACTTGTTAATGGGAAATTCAATTAATCAAGTCTGAAGGCCATGACCTGAACCCTAAAACCTAAACCCTAACCTAACCCCATCCCAAACGGGTTTGGGGCTCAGTGCTGGGGAACCCTGATGGTTGCTTTGGTTTCTCACCGCTCCTTGAGCACATCTGCAGGGGTGCGGACGAACAGAACCTCGATCATGCCATATATGCAGGCCATCTCCTGCACTTCAGACCGCTCAGTAAATAACAGCCTCATCATACTTGGAATGTTCTCATGTCTACAGCAGAAGAACAAGAATTACTTGAAGGTTTTGGGGAACCCGACATGTTGGCCGTCCTAAAGGGTGGCATAATCTGCGCCAGAGTTTTACACCACGCTCCATCTGGCTATCATTCAGGGCGCGTATACCTATCCCTTAGTCGCCGTGTAAAGGCGAAGGGATTTTGGTGTGGGTGAACTAAGTGAGATTGCTTGATATTGGGGTGAAACATGTCTGTCTGGTAGCAACCGCCAGGCTTGAAGTCAAACATGTGTTAATAGCGGAGCCCCAGCTCGTATGAGTGTGCACAAGCTCCAAAATTCCAGGGTTTAACATGAAAGTGGAAACACTACCTGCATCAAAACCACAGACATAAGGATGAAGTTGACAAAGCTTGTGCTTCACAAAAAGCTTTCGCCCAGACTTGTTGAGTTTGAGGTCACATCCCCAATTTTTGCGAAAAGAAATCCTAAGCCCTGAACCCTAAACCCTAATCCCTGAACTTATACCTTCTTTAAAACCATAAGGCAACCCATGACCTCTCCTGAATCTTCAAGTTCAGCGCATGCACGTCCTTCCTTGGGGTCACTAGCTGAAATCAATAAAATGTTTCGCTTTTTTTTTGGGGGGGGTGTGGGGGGGGGCTTGGGGGAGGGGGAGGGGGTGCAGTTTTCACCCCAGAAGCCGAGAGTTTTAGAAAAGGTTCCTGCGCTGTGTGGAATAGAGGGCTGTTTAGGGCCAAGCAAAACAATGTGGCCCACTATCAAACCTATATAGACCCTAAAACGTTGCTGGGCCGCAGCTAACAGGAGACTTAGGGGCCCTCGCTTCCTTTAAGGGTCCTTGTGGGTAGTTGATTCATGCTTGGGGCCCAAAGGGCTTCCTATGTAGCTCCTTTACACCTACCATCCAGGACTATGAAGCGAATCTGTGTTGATAGAAGCTTCTGACCTCTGCACTGGGCTTCGGTATCCCTCTCAATTCCTCTCAATGAAGCCCCAACCTTCAAAATCAAAAGCAACAACAGACAGTACGTGCTGTATGGAGAGCTCCTGCAAAGCCATGTCAACCTGATCAAGTAAAAGTAGGAGGCCGACATATTTCTGCCATAACAAGACATAGGAAAGCCTCTCCGCTGCAGGCGAGAACAAGACAGCCTTGACAGTTTGGGAAAAACTCAATACTATAATGTACTATAATATAATATAATTTACTATAATATACCAAATATTACCCCAATGTTACCCCAACGTAAGATGCAAGCCACAAGTCTCCTCCTCCAGAATCCTGTGCATAAAAATCATACCTGCTCCCGAAACGCCCCTCAATTCTACTCATATGGCACATACTCCTGAAAGCACCAAGCATTTCGGCCCCAAGCATCTACCACAGTTGAGCTATAATCTGAGCTCCTAGCATCCCGCTTAATAAGCCCTATAGTAGTCCCTTATATAATCCCCTATAACCTCAGGAGTTTAGACTACGGGACTTATCCTCAGGGATTCGCGAAAGGTTTTGGCTAACAGTCTTGCACAGGCCTAGCCTTCAGGCATGTGAGCTGTAGTCTAAAGTCCTTGAAGGGGGGTTATGTGAAGATTACCTAGGGGAGTACTATACGGAGTATTAGGGGGATGCTGGGCGTTTAGACTATAGCGCATATGATGGAACGTAGACTTCTCCAAAACCAGGATGCAGCACGCACAACCCAAACACAAGCACAATCAAGACCTCAATGCCGAGAACTGGTAAGGTTAGTGGAAGCTTCATTCGAAGGTTAGCGAAGCTGATGTCCGGGTCAGCATACTGCAGCAGCTTGTGCCAGTGTGCCACCCAGCAATCCTGCGGAGTTGGTCATGGAAGGATTTGCGGTTTTAGGGTTTGGGGCCCCGCTTTGGCTCATGCTTTATATGTATAGTCCCCCTTAAGTAGATAGAATATGGCTTTGGGAATATTGTAATAATAAGATCCCCATAATGTTGGACCTCCTTTGTTATTCTGGTCCCCTATAATGTGTTTTGGGGCCGGCTTATTCAGGATCAAGGCAATGATTGGAAGGTCCCCTATAATGAGTTTCGATTTTGGGGGCCTAAAAATACAGGAAGGATTCTCAACAATCCCTTTTAAATCAATCAACAGGGGCCTCAGAACCGTGGGAGCTTCGGGGGTCGTATTGAGGATCCCTCATTTCTATTTTTCGCAGGGCCCTAATGTTAGGGGGGGGGCCTTACTTATTAAAGAGGGTCCAACATTATACCCCATATTCTATCTACTTAAGGGGGACTATATAGTGTTGTCCTGAAGGGCTTAAATTTCAAGCCGCAAACCGTGTGGCTTTTCGAGCTTAAGGCGGCAGGTGTTAAAGCAATCCCGTTCAAAAGTCCCATGGGCAATGCTTGACGATTACTACGCGAACAACGGAAGGCTGCAGGGAACTCTATCCATACTCAGCTTGTCTGTACCCATGCCCTAAACCCTAAACACTAAACCCTAAGGCTTTTCTGGTTCCTTGAACCCCCCTACAGGGGTTTAGGGCTCAACCCTAAACCCCTGAACCCTGGATCCCCTAAACACTACACGCCTGAGACCTGAGCCCTACGTCCCAAACCATCAACCCTAAACCCTCAACCCCAACAGGGAAACCTGTGCAGTGTGAGATTGGCTAAAGGTGGTCCTTGCAGTTCTGCGGCGATGTCGCGTACTCCCAGAGCAGAGGAAGCGCTAGCTTCTCCTTAGATGATGCGACCACTGGTCTAGGGTCTACAAGTACTTCGAGGGTCAGGGGTACCTTTAACCCTCATAAGCCATATGGTAAGTTACTCCCGCTACCCCCTTGTTCAGCCGTCTGGATTGCGTGCATAAGGCGTTCGGACTCTGCCTCCTGCAGGCTTTTGTAACCTAGGGTTCAGAGTTTAGGGTTTAGGGGCTCCTTCCACAATTATAGGATAGATGTTCCCAAAACCCTACTGAGGCCCAACTGCTGATACAACAATTCCTGTATAGCCTTAATGTAGTATGGTATCACAATTCCCGGGGTTCAGGGTACTTGCAGAGTAGGGTCACGCAGGATCTTTCATATCAACCGTATCGTCGTGTTGCTATCTAGTTGATGGCCCATGGGAACTAGTATCTACTTACAACCGAATCTATCACCCAACTGATTATAATCCCCCTAGCTACCCTGTTGGAATGTTACAACCCCACTTCGTGGCAAATTAATCTCATGAATCTCCAAGAGCTGTTGTACTAGTTGTTGGTGACCAACGGCTGACAGATTCCACTACTGAGCGTAATTGCGTTGAACCAGCTTTTGTTCGGCTCGTTTCCGCGTCTGCAGGTCTAACCTGAAACGTCTAACGACCGCATGAATCCCAAAACCCCAAAACCTGAAGCCTAAACCCTAAACCCTAAAACCCTGAAACCAAAAACCCTGAAACCTCAAAACCTTAAACCCTATACCCTGTATATAGCAAGCCAGGTGTCCATGATGGCAAAGCGAGTGTTGTCCGTTAGCCTGGAGGCTGCTCGGTGCGGCACTCACAGTCCCAACGCCCCCGCGATTTAGGCTTTGGGGTTTAGGGTTCGAGGTTTAGGGTTTGGGTGTTAGGGTTCAGGGTTTAGGGTTTGGGATTTAGGGTTTAGGATTTAGGGGGAAACTCCTTTTACTTGAAGCGCCAAGAGACTTAGTGAAGACCTACAGCTGACCTTACTACTCATAACTGGGGTTCAGCCTTTCTCAGGCTACTTAGACGGGGGGGCTTACTACTAGGATTGTACGCCCAGTTATATAAGTAGCTACTAAACCCCATGAACTTCCAGGTAAACCCTAAACCCTAAGCCCTAAAATCTAAGCCCTAAGCCCAAAACCCAAAACCCTACTAAGCCCTAAACCCCAACCCCAGCCCTGAACCCTCGGCCCTGGTCACCCCAGAAGAACCAGCCCTCCATTGCCTGTCGTCCAGGGACTCGTCCAGGAACAGGCGGAACAAGGCATTAAACCTTGACTTTGTAGTTCGGTACGTGCGGTTTAGGATTCAGGGTTTAGAGCCTAGGGCTTGGGGTTCCGAGTAGAGCATCAGGAAATTCGGGCCACGCTTGCACAATATTGCTTGAGGAAACCTATGGGAAATGTTGCCAAGGACTGTTCAGCATATCCCAAACGCATATCTCTTTATCATAAAGGCCCCCCCGAAAAGGAGGATACTTGGGAACATTTGGCATACCCCGTAACTTCTTGTAGGGGTATGCGCCTAGGGTATGTATAGTATTTGTTTGAAAGGAACACTAAACCCTAAACCCTGAACCACATGGCTTGGCACATACGGATCTTTCGAAAAATCTTGGGAATGCTTTACTTTATTAGGCTCCATGAGATTTTAGCAATTACAGACAATTGGAGTTGATCATAACCCTATGCAGAATCAGGGCAAACCCTTGAAGGTATCATAAGTAGGATGATAGCCCAGTTATAGGTACAGACCAGGTGCTATGGAAACTGCCAAAGACTTTTCTAGAGTTTAAAGCGATTCGTTTGGAGCACCGGCCAAAAGCCACCTCCATGGAGCCCAGACACTCCAAGCACTCAAAACCTCCCGGAACTCCGCACCCTGAGCCTTTTGCCCTAAGACTTTAGAGACCTATAGCCCCTTATCCAATGGTCTAGGAGTTCGGGCTTTGCGTGTAAGGTGTAGGGGTATACTGCAGGAGACTAAAAACCTTCTCCCGACAGCTACATCTCCAAGCCCTAAGCCGCCCGAAATCCCAAACCCTAAACCCTAAACCCTAAACCCCGAAAACCCCAAACCCTAACCCCTAAGCCGCAGATGACAGAGCCAAGGGCTCCAGTTACCTAAACAATGGGAACTGGGTTCTATATACCCTGTAGTTACATAGCCCAGTAACCTACTATTTAGGTAACTGGGAGCCCTAGGAGAGTCAAGGAGCATGTCCAATGCTGAGC